CACACACACGGGGAGGCAGTTTTTGTCATGAGAAATTGCTCTGAGCTACTTTCATCCATCATTCCTCCTCTGAGTGGATCTCTGTCTGTCATCCAGAAACACAGAAATACTGAACTCAGATTGGCTGCTATTTTTGTGTTTGTGTCTAGGTGTGTATAGGTGTGTCTAGGTGTGTGTCTAGGTGTGTCTAGGTGTGTGTCTGAGCTCCATCTCGGATGAAGTTGAAAGTTCTGGAGGCCTAGGATTACAATAACACAGCGGTTCCCTCCACATGGTTCCAGTCTGGTGACAGGATGGTTGGACCCATTAGTAAAATTGACCTGTTGGACCATCCAGACAGGTCACAGAACCTTAGCAGAGGAACCACAGAAAACTGGCTGAGCCCAGTGGTAGAGGCCGCTGGGGCAGTAAAGTCTGGATGGGGGATAAAGTCTGGAGGGAGAGTGAAGCCTTGAGGGAGTAAAGCCCTGATGCGACAGTCGCGGCGTCTCATTGTTGGCTGTTGTGTTTGTCAGATCCGATGCACGGCCCGCGGCGCCTCCTGGTGGCAGATGTTCAGTCCAAACAGGTGACGGTCCGATGGCAGCCGTTCGGATACAACGTGACGCGCTGCCACCGCTACAATTTGACGGTGCAGTACCGCTACCGGCCTGCAGGAGCCATCAGGTAAGCAGGGTGGGAACCACAATGATAGCAGTGGGCGGGGCCAGTGAGTGGGCGTGGTCAGTAGGTGGACCTCAGCCTCTGTTTCCTGCAGGGAGGTGAAGGAGCAGGTGGGGGAGGAGGTGGTGTCAGACACTATGAGTGCGCAGCCGCAGCACACCGTGCGTAACCTTCCGCCATTCACCAACGTCAGCCTGAAGCTGTTGCTAAGCAACCAGGAGGGACACAAGGAGAGTGAGGAGCTGCTGGTGCTGACTGATCAGGACGGTACGATGCTGAGTGGGTCTCTGTGGGTCTGGGTGGGTCTGAGTGGGTTTCTGTGGGTCTGGGTGGGTCTGAGTGGGTTTCTGTGGGTCTG